GGCATGTATATGTTGGGACTTATAAACGAATATATATTTTAGTGCTCTTTTGAGTAGTTGGTGAAAATTCAGTTTTTAATTTTTTATTAATTTTAAGTTATATCACATCTCACATAATTTATTTATAAAAAAATAAAATAAATTAAAAAAAATTAAAAAATTAATTTTTTAACAACTTCTCAAAACACTGAAAGCAGCACCACGTGCACCTATCCCATTCCCACTGATTAGACCAAAAAAGATTGAGACCTAGTGGTGCTGATTGGCCAAATTTATTTATTTATTTATTTTTCTCATTAATCACCAACCCCACAACCCCACGCCGGGGGAGGGATTCGCGGTTTCTCAATCAGGCCTCATTAGACCCTGTTGGTGAGCCTGTGTACCACATCATCCATTAATCAAATGTTAATAAAACACCAACTAACGACCCATCCAATAACTTCTAGAAATGCCAAGTTTTTGTCCATTAATAATCGCATGTCATGGTCTGCCTCCCATTTGAACCCACGTCTCATTATTGTGACAAAAAGTTTGACATTTTGTGTATGCAAGCCAACCCCAAAATTTGATTCTCCTAAGATTTTTAGTTTAATTTCAATCGTCTTATAATGTCCCTCACTTAGTCTTACTTTTTTTTTCTTTCTTTTTTTTCATCATTTTTTTTTTTTTTTTTTTTTTTTTTTTTTCTTTTTTTTTTTTTTTTTTTTTTTTTTTGTTCACTAAAGACGCACAAGTTGATGTAAGAATGATTGAACACAATAATATGAACATTGTTGTTCACTTCATACCAAAAAGTGAAGAGTTTTTAATTACACCCTATTAATATCTCTTTAAATTATAAGTACTTTTCTAAGTATTTTTTTAAATATAATTTTTTTTTAAAACTTTTATCTAAAGCTATTCAACCAAATGATAAAACCTTCTCTTTTCTTTTTCTTTTTTCAAGAAAAGATGATAAATCTTTTTCAAACGTTAAGGATATGTTTGATTTGCATTTCAAAAATAATTTTTAAGAACAAAATTCAAAAAATAGAAACTTGTTTGATAAAAATAAACGCTAAAAAAATAATTTTGAATTTTTGAAAATTATTTATATCTCCCCAAAAGATAAAATTATATGAAAATGGTCAATATTTTTCATTTTTTCATTTTTCCAGCAAATTATTTTTAGGTTTCTAGAAAAAAAAAATCAAATATATATATATATATATATTTTGTTAAAAACCAAATCAAGCAGAGCCTAAAAATTTAAAATCAAATGAGGTTCCTTATTCCATTTCTTTCATATTTTCTTGTCTCAACTACTCTTTTTATTACAATCTATAATTTAGAAAGCAAGAAAGTAAAGAGACAAAAATTAGAAAAGATGTAACCTCGTTTGAAACACGAATAATGCTTAGGAACTTTTTTTTTTGAGATTTTTACAATTTTTTTTAAATTTTAATTATTGATGTATATGTGAGACTTACTTATATATATGTAAGGTCCATACTATCAATAATTGAAATTCAAAAAGAATTGTAAGAGTCTCTAAAAAAAAAAGAAATCTTAATCATTATTGTTGAAACAATCACATTTTTCTTTGTAAAAACTTCTTTAATGTGAGTCATTAAATCACCTTAAAGTACACAAGCAACATGATTGACCAACACGCACAAGATTATTGAAATCTATGACTGAAAGTTAGGGATGGCAATCAGAATGTGGTCCGACGGTGACCCGACCCCGAATTGAACAGTTATTTCCCAAAAAATATTCCCCATGGGCCGGGGATGGTATTCAAAAAAAATCCCTGATGATATTCGGGTCAGGGACGGGGATACATGTCCCAACCCCGGACCCGGCCCGGCCCCGTCCCCGTCCCCGACCCCGATCCCTGCCCGAAGTGATATTACTGTCATACCCTTTATATATCCATGTATAAACCAAACCCAAAAAAACAAACTCAATTCATCACTCACACAGCTTCTCTCTCTCTCTCACTGACTCTCTCTCTCTCTCTCTTTCTTTCTTCTCTACGCACGCAGAGCAGATGGCAGTCTCTCACTCTCTTTCTTCTCTACGCACGCAGTCGTTCTTCTGTTGACACTTTTTTATATACATAGTGGAAAAATGTTTGGTAATCCGAATTTGTGTGGCCCACATGGCTTAAATTGAACATGCCCATGATGTCGGCTAATGATGACTATGACAAAATTTCAAAACGGAATGTTTGGTGTGGGTTTAAGGACCTCGACTAAACCCTAATCTGGCAACTTCTAGGGTTTTTTCGGATCTAAGGAGGGGTTTTGGTTCAGTTTTTCCTAAGTATGTGATCTCTTTTTCAAATCCCAAGCCTAAATCTATATGGAAACAAAGAATCAATGGCAAGAATCTGAAAACAAGATAAAGGAAAACAGAAAAGAAAACATGATTCAGACTCAAGAAATTCAAGAACACTGAGTGAGTGTGTACAGATGTGCAAAAAATCAGAACAATGGTAAAGTTCCTAAAATCTCCTCATGTTCCTGGAGATATACAATATAATCATCTGAAAATGCAAATCTCCTTTCTCTGGTGGATCGCCTTAATGGCACAGATTCTTGAGGTTGAGGTTGTAGAGTTTGTTCTTCAGGAACAATTACCTCATCTTGAATGGGGGTTTGAACTATATTATCTTGAACAATATTGTCTGGTTGAGGATTCGAAATTACTTCTCGAGCAATGACAGGTTGATTACTCCTGCTTCCTCCTCAAAGACAATGTCTCTAACTGGATTTCTCCCCCCAAACTCAACATCCTCAAAAAATGTTGCAATTCCCGTCTCAAATATTGACCTATTTGTGGGATCATAAAACTTGTAACCCCGTGATCGTTTGGCATAGCCAATAAAGTAGCTGCTAATGGTTTTAGAGTCCAATTTTCGTTCATGAGATTTATAAGGCCTCGCCTCAGCAGGACACCCCCACACATGCAAATGTTTTAGACTAGGCTTTCACCCAACCCAAAGCTCATAAGATGTTTTTGCAGCTGCTTTAGTTGGTACCCGATTTAAGATATAAGTTGCTGTCTTTAGAGCCTCACCCCAGAGGGACTCTGGTAAAGTAGAATGACTGATCATACTTCTTACCATATCCTTAAGAGTCCGGTTTCGTCTCTCAGATACACCATTCATGCTAGGTGATCCTGGCATGGTGTATTGTGGGACGATGCCACATTTCTCCAGGTATTTTGCAAACGGTCCTGGACGTTGTTCACCTGATCCATCATATCTGCCATAGTATTCACCACCACGGTCAGACCTGACACTTTTAATCCGTTTGTTGAGTTGTAACTCAACTTCGGCCTTAAATTTTTTGAATACGTCCAAAGAATGTGATTTCTCATGGATAAGAAATAGATACCCATATCTGGAATAGTCGTCTATGAATGTGATAAAATATTGTTGACCATTCCAAGACACCATAAGGAATGGGCCACAAATGTCCGTATGAATTAGTTCTAAGACATCTGTAGTCCTATGGGCACCATATTTCTTTATTTTGGTCTGTTTTCCCTTGATACACTCAACACAAACATCAAAATTTGAAAAATCAAGAGAGTCCAAAATTCCATCAGACACAAGGCGCTCAACTCTAGATTTAGAGATGTGACCTAGGCGTTTGTGCCATAATGAGGATGAATTTTCCTTAGTTAATTTACGCTTTGTACCTCGTGATTCCACGTGCAAGGTTGCATTATAAGATGCAATAGTTTCGAGCAAATATAGATTATCAAACACATTAAGTAAACCAGTACCAACAACATTGGAATTAATAGACATACTAAACTTCATATTTCCAAAAGAACAATAATATCCCAATTTGTCCAATACAGAAACAGAAATTAAATTCCGTCTAAAGGACGGTACAACAAAAGTGTCTAATAAATCCAAATAATAACCAGTTTTCAGTAATAATCTAAAGTGCGCTATTGCCTGCACTTCTATTGACTTGCCATCAACCACAAAGATGTATCTTTTAGCATCAGTTGGCTTTCGGTAGTTCAGGCAACCCTGCATAGAAACACATATGTGAGTAGTAGCACCAGAATCTACCCACCAAGTGTTTCTTAGTACTGAAGCTAAATTTATTTCAGAACAGACCAAAACATGAAATGTACCTTTCTTTACACGCCAGGCGACGTATTTGGCACAATCTTTCTTTCTGTGTCCGGGCTTGCCACAAAAGAAACAACCATCCTGCACTTTCTATTTCTTTAGTTCCGGACCCTGAGGAATAGCAACTTCCTTTCCCTTATGCTTTCTTTTGCCCGTATGCTTGGAGGTGCTTGCCAGATGAGCACTTTCAGTCCTTTCTTGCTTCAATCTCTCTTCCTCTTGCACACAAAATGAAATGAGCTCATTGAGAGTCCATTTCTCCTTCTGGCAGTTATAACTGACCTTAAATTGGTTAAATTGTGCAGGAAGAGAGATGAGAACTAATAGCAACTTCCTTTCCCTTATGCGTTCTTTTGCCCATATGCTTGGAGGTGCTTGCTAGATGAGCACTTTCAGTCCTTTCTTGCTTTAATCTCTCTTGCTCTTGCACACAAAATGAAATGAGCTCATTGAGAGTCCATTTCTCCTTCTAGCAGTTATAACTTACCTTAAATTGGTTAAATTGTACAGGAAGAGAGATGAGAACTAAATGCACGAGCAAATCATCAGATAGGTCGAGCTTTAGTGCCTTAAGTTTTGAAGCAAGATGAGACATTTCCATGATGTACTCGCGAACATTACCCTTGCCTTTATACTTTATTGAAATAAAGCTTGCTAAAAGCGTGCTTGTTTCAGCCTTATCGTTTTTAGCAAAATGCTTTTAAATTTCTGAAAGAAATTCACCGGCAACGGTAACATCCTCTGTTATTGCACTCCGAAAAACTTTTGGAATCCCACGCTTCATGATCATAAGACTTAGCCTGTTAGAACGATCCCACTTTTCAAAGTACACAGTTTCCTCAGAAGATTTTTTGTGATTTTCCTTATGATAGAGTATCAAGAGGTGACAAAGGATCTTGAAAATGATTGATCCTTCTTATAGAGTCCCAGTTCCAACTTGATGCACTCAAAAGTGCTGCCTTATGAGAATAGTTTCTAGCTCTGTGTTTTCTTTTGTTAATGCTGCTTATTTTTATTGGCTCAGGTGCCATTCCTAGCCACTGCTGGGTCAAGAACCCGTGGCGATCTATTAATTATGTGATTAGGGATGTTATTATGGTTTTTGGATTAGCTGCATTGGCAAATTTCTTTGACAGTTGGGTTGTTTAGCCTTTTTACTGGGCTGCCCAGGGGACAATATTTTGGGCACTGTTTGTTCTTGGTCATGTTTGGTAATATACACAACATGCTAACAATTCCTGTTTTGGAAATTAAGTTTGAAGGCTCATTTTTGTGTTTGTGTTTGTTTTTTTTTTTTTTTTGAATCTGCAGTGGCCATGGAAGCTTTTCCAACAGCTCTTTGTTGAACAGTGTTGTTGGACATCTCCTGTATTCGTCAATTCTTGTGCCTTATCATGGATGGTGTGTTCTTGATCTTAACTCTTTTATTCTGATATTTGTATATCTGTCTAGATTGAGTTTGTGAAGAAATGGTGTTTGTGCATATGACTGATATATAATTACAGGAGAATTAGCCACAGAACTCACCATCAGAATCATGGACATGTTGAAAATGATGAATCATGGGTACCGGTAATACTTCTATAATTTTCCCTCTTTGCTCATCTTTTTCTGTTAATCCGTTCATAGTTTCATCTTTTTTAGTAGTTGACAATATTCTTGATAATTTTTCATATATGCTAGTATTTAATTAATTACTCTTGTGGTTATAGTTGCCTGAGAAGATATACTTCAATTCCATTTGATTCAATCTTGTTGCACATTTCTAGTATCTACACATTAGGTCCATAACACATATACCCTTAAGCCTATTAACTAAATTGAATCACTTAAATTGTAGGCTTCTTATAAATGATAACACCACATTTAATTATGTGGTCCCATTGAGACATTATCTAACATGTGTACACATTAAATAGAATATTGATAAACAGGAAATATCTTAACAAGACAAATTACAGGGGCCTTTCAGGCAAATAATTATATATCCCGATAATGGACTAGGTTGGTGAAGGTTATCGATAGTGTAGTGCATAGAAGGAAATAAGACATAAATGTTATATAACCGCTATGACTCACATTGGTGATCTGAAGTAATCACAATATTATAGTTTCTAATATATCTGAACTTATTGGCTATTTTTAAAATTCGTGATCACGTGTCAAAGTTTTTAGTGTGGAATCCAATGAGTCAAAAAATTTTATAAGTTGCATATTTTTGGAAAAACTCATAATTGCATTAATCTGCTTAATGGGCCAAGTGGGAGAATGTTGGATTTATTTTCTAGTGTGGCCCAATAGCCTACATATTTTTACATGTTTTATTTTATTTGGACTCCACAATTAGATAAAACCAATATTATATATAAAGTTCAGTAATTAGAATTTTAATATAATCACTCTTCTAAAATAAGAAGGAAACCTTGATAGATTAGGAATTCTTCTGATATAGTTCATCTAGCCCTCTTCTCTCCTCTATATAAGGATGGGTGACTCTCCTTTTATATCATGAGTATTTTTCCATGACTAAGTTTTATAGTCATCCTAATTAAGAGTGAGAGAGAAGAAGGTGAGCCAAGAATTAAAGGTTTAACTCTAAGGGTATTTTCTCAACTTCTCTAATTCAATGGCTGACAAAGGTATGTTCGTTTCATTCTTGAATTGTATTGAATTCAAGATCCTGTTAAGTTTAATTCTGCATTATTATTATGGTTACATGTATTATTAATATTTACACAAAACTCATAAGAAAATTTGGCGGTCCAAATTAGAAAAAAAAAAAATGTATACAGATACAAATAGGTGAATACGGATATAGATAAAAACTGCAACCCGCAAAATAGAAAAACTAACGATTATCTGAAGCAGTTCAAATAAATGTGAACAATTCGAGTTGAATGGTTTTTGCGGATCAGACTTGGTGAAATGTGATGCCCAGTCTTTTCAGTTTGGTGTAGTGGGACTTAGTAAAATGTGATGCCATGCATTACATCACCTTCACAATAATGTCATGCATTATGTCACCTTCCACAAGATCATAAAGAGAAGAAATAAAATTTACTCTTTGGAAGCTAAAATCTTTTTTAAGCAGGTGTTTAATTGTGTTTTTTGCTTGTATTTCACAGGTATTCGTATATTGGTGAACTCAGATTCCTATTTTGGCTCAAATAGAGGGGCATCTAATTTTTGTGACTCCTCAATGTCATTCAAATGATTTGTGTGTGAAAGTTTTTTTTTTTTGCACAACCATTGTAAACTATCATTTGATAAGTTTTTATTATGTGAATGGGAGTTATTATTTCATATTAGTGTTATTTTTCAGTTTTATTATAGGTATTTTTTTAGTTTAATAACATAAAATTAGCACAGTTTTTTTTTAAAAAAAGAAGGGGCTACTACGGCGTTTTTAAAAACGTCGTTAAATATCATCAGAATTATGACGGCGTTTTAAAAACGTCGCTAAACAGCATGGTGACGTCATGTTACCGTTAGGAGGACTTTTAGCGGCGTTTTTATAAAACGCCGCCTATTGTCATATAGCGACGTTTTTTAAGCGCCATAGAGTTATAGCGACGGCCGCATCTTCGACGTTTGATACTAAGCGTCGCAAAAGGAATTAGCGGCGTTTTTAATAGATATAGCGGCGTTTTTTAAACGCCACTAAAAATCCGATTTCTAGCAGTGATATATATATATATATTAAAAATAATTTTTTACGGCTTACAAAATTATACTATGAAAAATGTAATGATTTATGACATGTAAAGAAATATCGTAAAATATTATATACGGCATACAAAATATATTATAGATATATTAAAAGTAACTTTTTACGGTATGCAATATTATACTGTGAAAAGTACAATAATTTATGACATGCAAAAAATGTCGTAAAAGATTATCTACAACATACAAAGTATGTCATAAATGTTTTAATTTATTACTTTTTACAACTTTACATGTATGTCATAAAAGACAATTAACTTTCCACGACATAACTACATCATAAAAATTTTACATGTATGTTTTAATTTATTTCTTTTACGGCATATATTGCAAGTCGTAAAAATTTAGTTTTGTTGTAGTGACTAACACCACAATAAGTCATAACTAAGGCTTCATTTGGGAACATATTATTTTAGTAACCTTTTGATTTTTTACGAAAAGATATGTAGAAAAATAAAAACATTGATATGACAACTTATAATAACTTTTGATTCTTTTAACTAAAATATGTAGTTAACAAACAAAACCAAGTCATAATCAAATCATTGTTAACACCACAATATATCATAAGTAAAACCACTAACGTCAACTGGGACATATGGGTACCTTTCATAAAATTTTCCAAAATGAAAACACTACAAATCAAATCTTATCATTTATATATAATATTAAAAGTAGTGTTTTTTTTTTTTTCCTCTCTTATTAAGTACATATAATTTTCTATCTTAATCATATATTTAATAAATTAAACCATAAAGTAACCTAAACATCCTAATTTATTATTATAAAATTACTTTTATTTTTAAATTTTTAACCCAATTTCTTATTTAATAATATTTTTAATTAATATAGCTTAATTTATTATCATAAAATTATTTTAATCAAAATTTTAAAGGACACTTAGGCTAGAGGTCTATTTCTGAAACTATTGGGCCAATAGACCCAAACTTTATTCTTGTTTTCTACCAAAAGGACATTATGAGTTCAAAAAAGACAACTATCTATTCAAAAGCATACCATTTGTTTATCTGTTCAAATGTAACCTATGTATATACGTGTTACTTATTTGTCTAACTATCAATTCAAAGGAGGAGGAATCCTCTCCAGTCCAAATAGAGGGTGCTGTTTGGGTCTATGGAGCCCACTACGGCCCAGTTTTCATGATCCGGACTGTTCATTTTGTTGGGCACTTTGTATCTGTCGTTCATAAAAAAAAATTAAGTTGATTTAATAACTATAATTTATTCAATTTATTATGTTTGTCACTAAAAAAATGTATGGTTTATTTTTAAAAACACAATTGTTGTATATTTTTTTAGTGAAAATTAAACAAGTTACAATTATCAAATCAACCTAATTTTTTTTAGATGAAATAAACGAAGTGCTTGACAAAATGAACGGTTCGAATCATCGAAATGGTACCTGTGGTGAGTCCCACAGACCCAAATAACACCCTCTGTTACTTATCTATCCAACTATCTATTCAAATGTGTACATGTGTCATTTATCTATTCACCTATTTATTCAACATCACCTATTTGTTTACCAAAGATGTCTTTCATTATGCCTCAAATGGTGTTTCTTATGACTTGGTTACAAATATCATTGTGGCGTTTCTTATGACTTGGTTACAAATTATTATGATGTTGATTATCACATAGCTATAACCTGTTATAATTACAAATTTGATTATCACTAAACAGGCCTTTGGCTAAGCCTCAACTACTATTTAGCTATGATTTATTGTGGCCCTTTTGATTATAACCGAAAATGGTTCATGTTATTTTTACTTTCCATGGACATTTTTCATTTTTTGTCCAATTTTACAATAAAGTGATGTGCAAATATTTTCATAAAAAAATTACCTGACATTATTTCTCTTTTTGTTTGGTACAGATGGATGAACTCGTGCACGAAGCTAAATTGTGCAAGACTACTTGGCACTAAAAGCATTTTTTGAAGGATTATATATTTTTGGATAGATGTGTATGAAAAATATTTGGGTGAACTAGTAGTTATATTTTTTGATAGAGTAGAAATTATATTTTTGGATGGGTGTATGAAAAATATTTAGATAGACTACTAGTTATAGTTTTTTAAAGAAGCGCATGGATAAAATTTAAAACGTAATAACAAGTACTTGTTATGTTTTAAATTTTTATACTAGATGGATGTGAGTTTGATGATTTAGAGGTGCTCGCGGATCAAATTTGTACGGTTTGTGATTCGGTTTTGACCCGCCTACATCTATGTGGTTTGGAAAAAAGTCAAACCACAATTGCCCACAGTGCGGTTTGTGCGGATAGGGTTTGTGGATGTGCGAGCGGTTTGCGATTTGGTTTTTTTCTTTAAAAATTAATTTTTGAATTTTTTTTACCATTTTGTAAATATTTATTTCGAGTCATTTTCTTCCAAGTTTGCTAAAATCATATTAATTAATGAATTAAACTTATAAAATTAAAAACACAACAAAATCAATTCCTAACACAACAAGGTCAAAACTTATTATTCAAAAATAAAAAATAAAAAAAATCAACATCACCAACTCCTTAGCAATGGTACTATTTCATTGGCCATTGAAGACAAACACCAACTTTAATTACATGCAATCTTCAATTCAAAGAAATCAAATACACATATATAATATATGTAAATTATGAATACATCTACACGGACTGGAATGAAATAACAAATGAATAAATTAAAAGAAAAGAAAGAGAAAAAAAAATTGAAAATGAAATTTACCTGTGCATAAAGAAAAGGGTCAGTAACAAAATTACTAAGGAAACCAGCATTAGAAACTGAAGCACAAGTGAGGACTGGGTTGGCCACAGGCCAAGTAGCACTCTCATCTCTCCATTGATTCACCTGTCATCCAAAATTCAAACCCACAAAAAACCACCAAAAATTAGAAAACCCACAAAAACCAATTTCCCAAAACCCTCGAAAATCTAATAATACAGAAAAAATAGAGCAAATTTGCACACAAATAGCAGATCTGATGCATAAAAAAAATTCAGAGACCGAGGAGACAGACAGACAAAGATAGAGACAAAGGCTTACCTATGAGGTCGATCTGTGCAATGAGGGAGTGAGGTCGATCGGTCGATCTTGTGATGAGAGAGAGGCGATCTTACGAGGTCGATCGGTGCAGATGAAAAACGAGAGAGTGAGACTGATGATGAGATGAGAAGAAAGAAAAAGCTACGTAGCAGTAGATGTGTTTTTAAGTTTGAGATATTAGATTAGGGTTTTAGTTTTGTTTGTTATAGATGAAATGAAGATGAATAGTCTAGATTTGAAATATATATATATATTAAAAAAAAAAAAATGAGGTTAATGTGGGCAGGTTGGGCAGTGCGATTCAAACCCGTAACCCGAAAATCAGCCAAAATTCAAACCGCACCTGATCCTAATGTATTTGCAAAACTGCTCATACGTATGCAGGTCGGATCAGGTATGACGGTTTGGGCGGGTCGGATAACCCTATGTCCAGCCTTAAGATGATTATATAGATTACAAGCAGATTTTTAATTGGAGGAATATGTTTGGAATTTACTTGTGGATGAAAACTTATAATAGTTGTTGACTTTAATTAAACAGGTTAAAAAATGGTTGATATATGTATTTTGTTGAATGTTCATGATTCAATTTAATTGTTGGTTTGAATGATTTTTGCAAATTACAGATTATATTGAATAAATTGGATGGATTATTATAAATTACAGGTTTATTTTGTTGGATGTTGGCGACCAAACTAATTTTGGTCGCAGAATGTCACAATTAGCGACCAAAATTTTTAGTCGCGGAATGTGACAATTGGCGACCAAATTAATTTTGGTCGCGAAATGTCACAATTGGCGACCAAACTAATTTTGGTCGCAGAATGTCACAATTGGTGACCAAAATTTTTGGTCGCGAAATGCCACAATTGGCGACCAAACTAATTTTGGTCGCAAAATGTCACAATTGGCGACCAAAATTTTTGGTCGCGAAATGTCACAATTGGCGACCAAACAAATTTTGGTTGCAGAATGTCACAATGGGCGACCAAATTTTTTGGTTGCGGAATGTGACGATTGGCGACCAAAAATTTTTTGTCGCGGAATGTCATGATTGGCGACAAAAATTTTTGGTCGTGGAATGTCACAATTGGCGACCAAACTTTTTGGTCGGGAAAATTTCACTTTTGGCGACCAAAGTGTTTTGGCGACAAAATAAATTAGTCGCGGTAATTAAACATTTAGCGACTAAAAATTTAGTCGCGAAATCCAACTTTTGCCGACCAACCACAATTTTGGTCGCGAATTACTTTTGCCGACCATCAATTGGCGACCAAAGTAGCGACCAAAAAAATTGGTCGCGGATAACTTTTGCCGACCAAAAATTGACTTTTAGCGACCAATTTTTTTGTTGTCAAAAGTGTTAATTCTTGTAGTGTAATCATCTAGAATGACAGGCTTTCTTTCCCTCCCAGGAAGTTAACTTATGAATTATTCACTAATGGAATGGTAGCTATCCTACTAGTCTTAGGTTTTTGGGCAAAGAATGCCTGCTGGTTTATTCTTTTAGATTGCATATTGATTGAAATGATGAAACACTATGCCAATGACGTTTCCCACTTTCTGGAGGGTTTCTTTGTTCCATTATTTTTGTAAGATAAGACGGTCTTGTTTTTGCATGAAAACTAATGATTGGCTTGTAGAGTCTAAATTGACAGTGGTATGGTTCATTGTTTTCAGTAGGGACAGAGAAAGGCATCCAATAGGGATATTTTTCAGGGTAGGTTGGCCATCATAATATTGATCCTTGTAATCTGATTCCATTTATTTATTTTTCCTTTTCAGAATATGGAAGCGGAGAAGCAGGTTAAATTTTTCCAAGGTTGTGTTGATTCTGCATTTGCTGAACGAGATCATTCAATAATGGAGGTTACTACTTTTTCCCCTCTTAAAGTTTCTATGTTCTGCTTGGTGCACAGGAGAAGGTTGGGGTTTAATGCCAAAAAAAAAAAAATTTACATATTTAGCAAAGAAAGCACATTTATCTGATGGTATACACCCGGTAAACTTAGAACAGCAGAAGAACACAACTGACAATCCATCAACTAACAACAGTAGCTGAAATGTTGAAGGTGATTGCTCACATCAATGTGATTTTTTTTTATTGGAGTTTTCCCTGATTATGGTTAAGGAATTTTGTTTTCTATTATTATTTTTAAGGAAAACTAAGGGGTTGTTTGGGATGACCTAAATAAGTGCACTTTTTGTCTTTTTACGAAAAAATGTGCAGAAAAGTAGAGAGATGATGTGATGAAAAAAGATAAAAAGATAAAAAGTGTGTACTTATTTAGGATAGCCAAACTTGGCCTTAAGAGAATTTGATGACAGCCCAAAACTCTCTTCCTTTAATTATTGATAAAATGTTACAGCACAACGAGAGGTATAAATTACTTTTAGCATAAAACATAATACTATTGGTGTAGTTTAGATTATTAATGGATATTTCTTTTCTGTGTACAGAAAATATAATTTTTGTATGATTCTCTGTTTGTGTTGATTTATTATTTTAGAATGGATTATATTTAGTTGACAAATATTTTGTGTATGGAAAACATGATTTTTGAATGATTCTCTATTTGTGTGTACTTATTATTTTTGGGCAGATCATATTTAGGTTGTATGAAATTAACGGTAAAAGACTAAATTTTTGAATGGTTACAAATGAAATAGAAACCGGTATATGAATGGTTTTGTTTATATATTGGTTGCTGATTGAACGAAATAAATACAAATTGTAAAGAAATTAATAATAATAAAAAATATTAAATAAAATTTTTAGCGACTAAATATTTAGTAACTAAAAAAAAATAAACTTATTGACAACTAACCAATTGGTAGCCAAAAAATATATATATATATAATTTTAGCGCTTAATATTTGATAGCCAAAAATAAGCAAAAGATTTTTGATGACTACAAATTTAATAGCCAAAAATATATGAGATTTTTGACGACTAAATGACTTAGTAGCTAAAAAAATAAGATGAAAATAAATTTTTTTAACGACATATTTAAGTCAAAAATAAATGAAACTTTAGCTAAATAATTTAATAGCTAAAAAAATAAGATAAAAAATAATTTTTTATTAGTGACTAAATATTTAGTGGTCAAAATAAATAAAATTTTAAGCGACTAAATAATTAATAGCAAAAAATTAAAAAAAAATAAAATTTGACGACTAAATTCTTTGACCCCTAAAAATAATAAATATTGTCACTAAAACGAATCAGCTACGAAATCGTTGAAAACCAAAATTAATTTTATTTTAATATTTTTAACGACTAAATATGTAATTGTCAATACTTTTCTCAATAATTAGCCAACAACCAATTTAGCGACCAAAATATTTAACCACTAAAAACCTTTGACGACCAAAAATATAACCGTTATAAAAGTGTCATTAGATGTGTATGTATTATAGAAGCTCCCTAAACAATTAGGAAATTCTATGCAGTAATTTTTTTTTTCTCCCCTAAACTATCTCTCTTTTTTATGCAAATTTTTTTTTTAATTTATATTTATACCGATCTGGCTACCAATTATTCAAAATTAAATTAGTTTACCCTGTGTTCTTGTTCTCCTTATGCTATTCAATCATTCAATTGAATATTACCTGTATCTCCCAAAAGTGAGAAATAAAAAAGGAAAAAGAAAAAAGGAGAAGAAGAAGAATAGTATGCCACACATATTTGGGATTAAAACTCAAGCCTTTCAATTCACTATACAATAAAAATAACACAAGTCACAAGACTCGAACTGTGATATCTTAAAACAATTAAGTGTTTTTGTCAATCCCATTAAACGTGGACCTGGATGCTGTCTAGCCTGCGGTAATTGTTAATACCGAACTTCTCTCCACAATTTAAATTGTTCATATTATAAAATTTGTAAATATGGTGCTTATAAATAATTATTTATAACCACATGATCAAAACCCAAATAAATATAATTCATCATCAAAATTATATTTACTGTTTATTTTATTCTTTTACGAAACAAATATAATTTTGCTACGTGGTTATAATATTTGATTTTATTTTTTCTTTGGTACTATTTACTTTATCATCGAAATAAAAGCTTGATACTGATCTCCATGATGGGTCAAAATTTTATTTGATTACTTATTTTTCAAAATTACTTTCTTCCATACACATTAAATCAATCATCTTTTTTAAATTTCTCTAAAATAATTTTTTAAAACTATTTCTAAAAAAAATAAACCAAACAATTTATCGTATTCTTATCTTAAAAATTACACTACACAAACACAAACCAAACACAACTTTCCGATTTGTGCTCGAAAATACCAAGGGTCGAATGCCCGAGTTTCAAAACGACATTTTGGATTTTTTTATTTTTTGGCTCTTTTTTCTCTGAAGCAGAGGTGAAGATGGAGAGAGAGAGAGAGAGCACCAACCAACTCAGATCATGATCATCAACCGAGGGAGAGCATCAACATCAAACAACACATCATCATCATCACCACACATCATCTTTTCCTCCTCTTTTTCTATTCCTTTTCTTCTTTCATAACTCACACACACTCACAGAACATCAATACACACAGACACAGACAGATCTGTACACACACACACAGAGATCATCAACAGAACGGGGAACAGAGAGACACACAGATCATCAACAGATATACAGATCTGTGTATGCACACACGGAGGATGGCGGCGCCGGTGATGGGTGGAGCCTCTCTCTCTGTTCCCTCTTCCTCTCTTTTCTCTCTTCTTTCTCTTCTCTCTCTTCCTCCCTCTGTTTCAGATATATAAGGGGGAAAAAAAAAAAAGCAGACTGCCCAAAACGACGGCAAAGCAGTTTCGAGCTACGAAGTATTGTTCACAAAAACACAACAAAAACACAGTAAATTAAGAAAGATGGTGCAACGCAGGAGACAGTAAATTAACAAAGACGGTTTGATCACAACACCCTTAATTTTTCATACAAACTGGGACATCCATAGCTGCCCAAACATGGTACAAAGCAAGAGAGAGAGAGCAGATGTCATGGAAGCCATGGAAGAGTACTCACAAAACTTTGCTAGCAAGGACGTGTCATGGATTAGCAGCGCACTCAACGAACCAGAAAAGGAGAAGACGAGGCACACAACAAAAGCCTGGAACGTTGTTGGGAGACCTTTAAAGAAGACAGTGGGGACTGGGTTACCATCTATGTATTCAAATGGGATTATTAAGAGAACTGTGGTGATTGTGAAGGAAGCTACCAAGATAAATTCCAACACTCGTGTCTGGATTGGTGGGATGGAGCTCAATTTTGAGTCTCGTGTCTGGATTGGTGGGATGGAGCTCAATTTTGAGCCATCTCTTCGATTTGGAAGAAATACACATGCCATCTAGATCCATAAATGGGCTTGTTGTGAAATCATGTTCTGCACTACATATTTTTATACCGTTTAAAAATAATATTTTTATACCGTTTAAAAATAAAAAAAATAAAAATTACAACTTTTCGAAGTTAACGGGTATAGCGTGATAATGATAAGGGTTAACTATTAATTTATCATATATTTATTTATTTCCCTATATAAGTATCGGGTTGAATACAAAACGATGTCGTTTTTTATTTTCAAAAGAAAAAAGGAAACAGATCTCTCTCTCCTCTATTTTGGGGGATGCCAGGGAAGGGTGAGTTGAGGAGAGAAACATTGATCTTCAGCTTGATTTGGAGAGATCTGAAAGAGAATTCAGCACCAGCAACAAATAAATTACACCCACATGTTCAGAAACAACAACAACAGAGAAAACAGGTAAACTATCAATTGGATTTCACACGTTTGATTTTAGAAAATAAAAATCTATTTCAGGTTTTGTGTTTTTTTGTGGCCAAAGTGGGTTTTGCTGATTGTGAGTCGTTTTATGTTATGTTTTCAAGTCTCGAAAGTGATTGTAACCATCTTTTCTTCACAGATCCATTGTTTTCTCAACCCCGGTCTAAGCCCTGCGGCAGAACTTCACGAAAACGTTGCTACCGGGGGTTGGCCTGTGGCTGCGAGGCGTGGGCAGGTTAGCCGGCGACTAGAGAGGGTGGGGAATGGGTGGCCGCCAGCCGACGAGAGGAGGCAGAACAGACAGAAGAGAGATTTTTATTTTTTTTTTTTTTTTTTTTTTTTCTGAAGTGCGTTTTTACCTTAAAAATTAGATGGTGTGGCAATAATGTGTTAAAATATTTAAGACAAGTCTCCCTTTTTTTTCTTTTTTCTTTTTTCTTTTTTTATGATGGAAGTTAATTCATCTTGGGGATTAGGTTGAGAGCAGAGAGAGAAAGCTCCATCCGTTGTTACCCATGAAGTTTTTTGAGGGTTCCTTATCAGATTCCTGGTCTGGTTTAGGTGGTGCTGAGTATTGGTGCTGAATCTGGTCTTATTCTGTCCAGATTTAGGAGGGCTTGAAGCTGTGTGGGTCGTTGCTGTTGTGAATGTGGATTTGGTGTTTTGACCAAGATCCCATTGGGCTGTTTATGGGTGTTCTTTTGGGTTTATCCAGCAGTGAGCATAAAGATTGTCATGATTTGCACCGGTGTGCTGCAATGTTTTTGAACCCCTATTTTGGGTTTGTTCTGGAGCCTCTCGTAGGTGTACCCGCCGGTCCGTGATATGGATTGGTGGTTTCGATAGTGGGTGGCGCCAGTGGGCTCGTAGGTGGTGTCGAGTTTGTATGTTATATTAGCCGTGGCTCTGGCTAGTGTTGTTCAAGATTTCCATTTTCATCGTGGTTATTGTTTGCTGCTGTCGTGAAGTTTCCATCCACTGGTTTAGCTTGTTGGTGGACCAGCATCGAGTTTGTGGTTATCAGTTTTCGCCGGTAGCTTTCCAGGTCTCCGGCGGTTCTGCAGTGGTAGGATGTTCGTTTACAGCCCCGGCTGATTGGGCTCTGATTGGCATCATGGCCATTTCTGGGTAGAACTATCTTCATCGCCGTCGTCAGTGGCTTGCCGGCGTAGAAGGTGGATGAAGTTTAGAGCGCAAGTGGTTGGTTGCCGCAATTCATCCGTGGAGGAAGTTTTCGGTCATGGAAGGCTCAATGGCCAATTTGAGGGGACGAGTGAGCTACACGTGAGCTCTCGAGCGTGGAACAGCTGTACGCTTTGTCGCCCACTCTGACCTGGTATTTGATTTGTTTTCTTCAAGACTGGTTTTAAAGACTGGTTTTAAATTCTGTGGGCTGGTTTGATTAAAATATAGTGCTCTCGAGCGTGGAACAGCTGTACGCTTTTCCGCCCTCGCTAACCTGGTATTTGATTTGTTTTCTTCAAGACTGGTTTTATATTCTGTGGGCCGGTTTTGATTAAAATATAATGGGTGTTTGGAAGGTAAGTTTTTTTTATAAGTTTTTTTAGTTGTCAGATATTGTTAAAGAAAAAAAATTTTGGGCTCGTTTGGTTTGATTTTCTGAAAAAAATTTGGGAAATTTTCTCTACAAATAAGTTTTCAAAAATAATCAAACCAAACAAATTTTCCCAAAAAAATTTTCCAAAACTTTTAAACCAAACAAGTTTTCCAAACAAATCTCTCTCTCACACATATCAAATCAATCACTTTTTCCAAAACTCTATCTCAAAATAATTTTCCAAAACATCTTTTAAAAAAAACCAAACCAAACATGTTTTCGTACTTTTTATCTCTAAAACACATCTCTCAAACACAAACCAAACATACCCTTTATATTTAGAAAGAAGATTATATATTTTTTTTTTGTAATTAAACGTGATGTTTGTAAAAAAAAATAATAATAATTCTGAAATTTGATGTGATATTTTATTTTAATTTATTTTTTTAATTTTATAACATATTTATCTCTTAATGAAAAAAATAAAAATAAAAAATCTAAAAACTAACTTCTCAAACATCGATGTATAGTGTTGGGAAGGGTGTAGTGGATCATCGGGCACTCGTGATTTACGTGTTGCAGTAGGCTATCTTTTATATATATATATTGGGCAAATTACAGGTTTAGTTAAATTATACTCCCTCCGTCCTAAAATATTAGTCTCTTATTTCATTTTTTATTGTCCCAAAATATTAGTCCCTCTTTATAAATCAAGTACAAAAATAATGTAAATTTCTTATTTTGCCCTTCTTTTAAATTAATAAACAATTTAAAAAGTACAATTATGGCATTGATATTCCCAAAAAATGTACTATCAAAAGGGTAATTTTGGAAAATTAACTTTTTTCAAATGCAATAAGTGTACTACCAAAAAAAGTTAGATTCCCCAAAAGGGATCAATATTTTGGGACGGAGGGAGTAAATATTTTTTTAAAATTTGAAAAATTATAATTTCTTTTCTGAATGTTATCTTCTTATAATAAATTGTTTTTTGAAATTTATATTTTCATAACAAATTCTGTTTTAATTTATTATGTAATATAATCTTCAGAGAGAATTTTGTAATTTTTCAAATCTCATAAAATTTTTGTAATTTAGTTAAATCTTGAGGGTATGTGTAATTTGTCCATATATATATATATATATTTGGTGTGCTGTATGGTGTGTTAGCCCGCAGTGATTATATAAGTGGACCATTATTATCAAATGGGCTTTGTTAAAAGAATTGGTGGGAGTTTAAAGCATGGGCTGCTGGGTCCTCTTGGTAAGGTTTTTTTTTATTTATTAGTGGCCCATCTTGGATTTAATTTTTTATTATCCAATGGGCTCACTATATTCTTTGTTATTGGGCCGTAATTGGGTTCATTTTGAAAAATTCTTTTTGTTTAGCTTTTTTGCAGCGGATCATTTATAATTAATTATTTCATGATGTTTGATCGTGTGAACCTAATTTGACTCAATATGAGGGTGGTTTTGGGCCATCTCCGCCAAGAGTGATTGTAGAGTCACTGCTATGGGGAATAGTGGTTCATACTACCCAAGTTAGAGACTGGGAGATGAGTGGGAGGATAGCTACCGGTTTTCTGGTCGCTTCTTGTTTTCATGTGACCCATCCTTTGTATTGTCACGCCAGTCATGGAGTGAAGGGCATACTGCCATGGGGTTTGAGATTTGTGATCTACCAAGGGGACTAAGGGATGTAATGATTGCTTTCATGATTTTGTTGGCTATGTATTGGTTTGTTGATGTGGGGCTATTGTTTTTCACTACAACACCCAAGTACATAGCTTATGGTTTCTGATCATGCTAGCTTCATGTAACTTTGTTGGGATTTCTCGTGGGATAGATTTTTTCTTCCGTCACGGCTTTGGTTAAATGGCTTGGATGTCATAGTTGTGAAGAGTGAGACGCTTATAGGATTTCATGTGTTAATCTGCAGCAGTGACTGGGGGCATGTGGGGTTGGTTATCATCTTTGATTCGGCTCGGGAGTTGTTGCTTTGTGTTTGTATCTGTTGTGTTTATAAGCTTTGTGGTGTCTTCTGTATCTCTGCATATATCTATCTCAAGCTCTCATCAATTTATCTTTGTAACCAAACTGCCCAAATCAAACATTTTCTCGTAACACCCAAATATTATTTACCACATTGGCAAGCCTACTTTATCACGTGGGCTGGTGGTGTTGTTGTTACTAGTGATGAGTTAGACCATTTCTAACGTTGCATCAGATTTAATATCAAATTTAAATTTGATGAAAAAAATTATTTTTTTTGCTATAATAGTTTTACCAAATTGATATCAAACTGAAAACGAGACAAATTTTTTACCAAACTGAGAATCTGCGTGAGCCTTCACCTGTGCTGTAACGTTACAAGTGGGCCACCGATTAACCTGCCGGACGTCCGGTCGGTCGACCGAAACAGTTCAAATAGATAAGTTCAAACAAATTCAAAAAGGTAAAAAAATAAATATTTTTTAGCCTTCCCAGTCGACCGGCCGGTGGTCGATCCGGATGTCCCCTGCCTTTTGATGACAACCATTAGAGCAGCTCATATCAGATTGAGAAAATAATCATTTTTTTATTCAGATTTGATGAAAAAAAAAAAGTGAACAATTGGAGATGCTCTTACATTTTGAAAATATGTGCCAGATTGGTGCTGTTTTGGTAAAGTTTTATTTAGGTTAAAATTTGATAATAAAAATTAAAGTAAAAATTAAAAACACTTATTCCTTGACTTTTAAATAATTTTTTTTAAACTTATTTAAGTAATTTATGTCTAATAAGTTATAATCAAAAGTTGTACAGTACCAAACAGTCTAACATATATTTTCAAATGGAAAATGTCTCGTAGCTTAAATTTTGTGGCTCAAATGGTCAAAACGACGTCATTTTGGTCATTTTTATGTTGTTCTGTACTCAAAACGACGTCGTTTTGGCCATTTAAGCCACTTTTGAGCCACAAAATTTGAGCTACGTAGCATTGTCGTTTTTAAATTAACATGAGTTATAATCATCTCTTAAAAACTATAGCAAACAATCTCATTGTTTGGTACAACTCTGCTTAATTTAAATAAATTAAAAAAAATAATTTTTAAAAAATGAATGATGAGTACTTTTAATTTTTATTTTTAAATTATTAATTTTTAATTTAAATAAATTGCACTAAATAGAACATAGTGAGAAATCATCACCACACATCATCTTTTCCTCCTCTTTTTCTATTCCTTTTCTTCTTTCATAACTCACACACACTCACAGAACATCAATACACACAGACACAGACAGATCTGTACACACACACACAGAGATCATCAACAGAACGGGGAACAGAGAGACACACAGATCATCAACAGATATACAGATCTGTGTATGCACACACGGAGGATGGCGGCGCCGGTGATGGGTGGAGCCTCTCTCTCTCTGTTCCCTCTTCCTCTTCTTTCTCTTCTTCTCTCGCTTCCTCCCTCTGTTTCAGATATATAAGGGGGAAAAAAAAAAAAAGCAGACTGCCCAAAACGACGGCAAAGCAGTTTCGAGCTACGAAGTATTGTTCACAAAAACACAACAAAAACACAGTAAATTAAGAAAGATGGTGCAACGCAGGAGACAGTAAATTAACAAAGACGGTTTGATCACAACACCCTTAATTTTTCATACAAACTGGGACATCCATAGCTGCCCAAACATGGTACAAAGCAAGAGAGAGAAAGCAGATGCCATGGAAGCCATGGAAGAGTACTCACAGAACTTAGCAAGCAAGGACGTGTCACGGATTAGCAACGCACTCAACGAACCAGAAAAGGAGAAGACGAGGCACACAACAAAAGCTTGGAATGTTGTTGGGAGACCTTTAAAGAAGACAGTGGGGACTGGGTTACCATCGATGTATTCAAATGGGATTATTAAGAGAACTGTGGTGATTGTGAAGGAAGCTACCAAGATAAATTCCAACACTCGTGTCTGGATTGGTGGGATGGAGCTCAATTTTGAGTCATCTCTTCGATTTGCAGGAAATACATATGCCATCTCTGCCTAGATCCTTTACATGGCTTTATTTTGAAGCGGTGATGATATAGAGAGCTTTAAAGGTAGCTCTACAGCAAGGAGAAAAAATAAAATAAATGAAATGAAATAGTTAGGACAAAACATCCTATCACAGTCGAACCTATTGGTCCCGTTTGGTATAAATGTTAAAAAATATTATAGATTATAGCTTAATATATTTTAAATTATGAATTTAAAAAATTAATAAATACAGAAAAATACGAAAAATGTACTGAATTTTTTTGTTGTTGCTATTTAGTGTATTTTTTAAAGATTTTTTTTTTCACAAAGAAGGAAATAT